CGATGAGCCGTTACAATCACCCCGTCGCCCCGGGAGAATCCGTCCCGGATTCAAAAATCAGAGCAGATAAAGGCGTTCTACTTTCTTGGTTTTGTTTCTCCTGCTTGATATTCGAGAGTAAATGACTGGCGCCACTACAAAGAAATCGAACTAGATTGGCACCTAATCGTTTACCTGATTTGAATGAAAATTCAAACACAAGTCAAATCTCGTCTTCGGATCAAATACTATAAAATATCGTAACGTCAATAAATTAAAAAAAAAAAATAAATAAATAAACAAATAAAATAAAATAAAATTAACCAAAATTAAATTGAATTGAAGTAAATTGAATTTAACTTAAATTAAATTTAGAAAAGAAAATATCCACCATCATGGTCATAAAAAAAAAGATAAAAACAAAATAAATAAACAACAACAAGCTCATCATGATTGTCAATTGTCCATGGACAACATAAATGACGACGATGAGAAGAAGAGGAGAATGTTGCATATTGTTCAATGGGTGGAAAAAGTGGGTGGTGGTAGCCTACTCGTTTTGGTCGAAAAACCCACCGGTGGTTTCAGCTGGTCAAGAAGAGTATTGTATTTAGCAATACTCTTCGCGCAAAAGACGCAGCTGTTCACCGCCGTGCGGGTCTTCGGCCAAAGGCCACCACCCACTGCCGGGACAGTCGTCTTTGCAGAAACAGACTCCGTTCCGGACTCATATATTGAGTCTTTTACTCATGTTTATTTTTATGATTTTTGTTTATTATTTTAATAATTGATATTTTGTTTCGTTAAGTTCACTTTTCTTTTCTCGTTTTCTCCCTTATTTTTTTTCTTTCTCAATCTTCTTGTTCGTGTAAATAATTTTTTTTTTAAATATAAGTTGAAAGTTAAGTCAAGAAAACTTCATATGCACCAGATGGACAAAAGAATGCAAGCCAGAGAGAGAAGAATGACTGTTACTATGCTATTGCGATACAGACCTGAGTAGAAAACTAACGAGAAAAAGGGAAAAGAAGTTAATTCATCCAAAGAACAAGTTCTGGTCTCAATTTTCGAAGTAAGTATTTTTTAGTAAATTTTCTTTGGTTTTTGGATTAATTTCCAAATTTAGTCCCAAATATCTTTGATAGAAATCAGCTGCTGTTTCATTTTCTTTTTGAACGCAACGGCTACGTTCAATTTTCAAAGCCTCTATCCTTTCAGGACTACGAAAACGAGACAAGAACAACTTCCTATATATTTCCTTTAATAAAAAAATCTAATTCATCTTGAGTTAAATTTCCTCTATCTTGTTCTAATTTAATTGTTATATCAAATGAAAATAATAATTTATGTTTTTCAAATATACCCGTACAACCATAATTATAAACATTTAGTGTTAATGTTGTCATTATATTTTTATATTTTAGTTTATTTATTTATATTATTTAATTAATTAATAATATTTTTAGAAAATATGATAAAATTGGTTGGAATGTATCGTATGATTTTAATGAGTCCGATTTTCGTGTTTGTATGCAAATATTAGATACGTATTTGACAAAAGCTATAGCAAATAATGATACAAGAATTCCATGGGGCTCATTGAAATATTTAATTGGAGAGGTGAATAAGTGAAATAGTTTATGTATAGAGTGGATATTAACATTTTTCTTTGATATTTTGTTTTTAGGTAATGTACGGTGGACAAGCAATTGATAATTTTGATCGACGAGTATTACGAACATATATGAACGAATACATGGGGGATTTTATTTTTGATACATTTCAACCATTTTATTTTCATCATAGTCCAGATGTATCGTATTATATTCCAACAACACAAGTAGATGCACAACAACAAGGATTACCAATGAAAGAAATGTGTCTAGGTATGTCGTATCTTGTGTCGATCTATACTTTGATTTATTTAATATAAATGAGTGTCATAAATGTATGTATGAATGTATAAACGATAAGTTAAGTTATACATTCATATATAATTGTATAATTTACTAACTAGTGTTTATTGCATTACAGGAATATCGCGACGTAAGTATTTTGTCACTGTGTGTGTTTCCATTATTCTTCACTGTTTCTTTCTTTTTTCTGTCACCAACTGCTCTTATCTCACTTTAATGATTTTATGTGAGAATTATTGGTTTAAATCACCCATTTTTATTTGAACTAGACGTTATTTTACAGTCGTGCTCAATTTGCGTTATTCATATGAACAGTCTCGATGTTAGCCTTACCAAAGAAGTGTTTGGTCTTCTTTTTTTTTGTTCATTTCGTCTTTAAATCAACTCACTCTATCTTTTTAATCATAAAAGAGCGAGAGTAAGATTTACTCTAGGACGTTGACTTAATGCAAAAGTTGAATGAGAAGCAAACGTGAACTGAACTGCTGCAGAAGTTCTTGTTAAAAGTATTTATAGTCTTTGACAACAATAAAAAAAGAAGTTTATCTCATTCATTTTTTCACCCTATTTCGAATGGTATGTGACACAAATTTTCATCTCTTCTTATTGGTCCAGATATTAGGGTATTTTGAAAGTACCAGCAGGACTAAAGCGGAGAAAATCAATCCGGACGACAAGGTCATATAGTTGTTGAAAAAATATTTTCATCAAAATTTAGTCGACTTTTTCATACATCGGACGGTGATAGTGATGTTTACTCATACTCTGTGCAAAGAATACTAACGTGAGATAGCTCTAAGCGAGACTATATTCCTTGGGACTGATAGGACTTAGTATTGAACAGATGTTAATATTAGTTTTTTTGTAAAGAACAACATATACAAGTTTTAAATAACGCTTTGAAAACGAACATACTCTCAAATGCATGTTTTTTTTAATTTTGTTTTTTTCTCGTGTTTATCTCACTAATCTCAATTACTACGTTTACATCATTCCACCATAATTTATTTTTATTTTTATGTTAAATAGCCCTTATTAACTGTTGTTATTATTTTTCTTGAAGAATATATCGAATCATTACCATTAACAAATACTCCAGAAATATTTGGTTTCCATCCAAATGCAGAAATTGGCTATTATACAAAGTCTGCACGTGATATATGGGAGCAACTAATCGAATTACAACTACAATCTGGTAAGCATTTATGTTCATGAAATATTTCTGTAGAAAATAGAATAAATTTGATATTCATTGTATCTCTAAAACAGGTGAAGCCACTGGTGGAATGAATCGTGATGAATACATCGACAGTACAGCAGCTGATATACTAAAACGTGTACCACCTCAATATGACACTGATAAAGTTTGGAAAACATTTGGTGGTGAATCGATTTCTCCAACATCCGTGGTGTTATTATAAGAATTAGCTCCATTTAATAATTTAACATCAACAATAACAAGATCATTAACAACATTGAGACGAGTATGTTAATATACGTTTTGTTGATTTGTTATACAAGTTCAACTGAATGAGAATATATGACTATTTTAGGTATTGAAAGGTGAAGTAGGAATGTCAAACGAAATGGATGATTTAGCACGAGCTCTCTATAATGGACAATTGCTTCCAATGTGGAAAAAATTAATACCTGCAACAAAAAAAAATCTTGCCACTTGGGTGGATCATTTTCTGAGAAGAAATCAATTGTACAACGGTTGGGTGCGTATTAGTATTGTTTTTAATATCAAATGGGGAGATTTAAAGGAAATATTTGTTGTAGGTGAATGAAGGTGAACCAAATATCATGTGGCTGTCCGGCTTACATATTCCTGAATCATATTTAACTGCACTTGTTCAAGTAACATGTCGTAAAAATGGTTGGCCACTAGATAAGTCAACATTGTACACACAAGTGACCGAAAGCGGAAGATGTAACAGAACGTGCTCATCAAGGTAAGAAAGTCAAGAGTTTGCCACAGACGGATGCGAAAATTCAGTTATCTTCTTTTTCTACTCTAGGTTGTTTTATAACTGGACTTTATTTGGAAGGAGCAAGTTGGGATGTTCAAAAATGTTGTTTATTAAGACAACGTCCAAAAGAACTTATACAAGAATTACCAGTTATGAAAGTTATTCCAATCGAATCACACAAACTTAAATTACAGGTAAGATAAGCTAATAATCCATCCAAAGTACTAAATTCAAGTTTACTTCTATAATCGCTGATGAAGGCGTCAATGCAGTAGACTACTAGTTTCAGTCAAGTTTAATATTTCTGCCATTATCGCTAACTTTCTCATTTGTTGTAGAATACATTACGATGCCCTGTTTATGTCACGTCCGATCGTCGTAACGCAATGGGAGTGGGTTTAGTGTTTGAATCTGATTTATCCACAACTGAACATAGCAGTTATTGGGTATTACAAGGTTTCTGTCTTATTTTGAATACTGACTAATGCATGTATACATATGTAAAAAATTACTATTTTTGTATCAAATTTTCAATTTGTTCAATAGATGTATCTCGAAACGTGTATTTTTTAAATATGTTTTACAGGTTCTTTTTATAACTTGTTGTTTTTTGTTATTATTTTCTGTTATAAAGAAAGGAGAATTTAGAAGATGAAATCTATAGAGAAACAATGATCTCATTATATTGAAGCTGGTCTATGAAAATTGTAATAGCAGCCATTTTAAAGTTCATTAAAAGAAAATTAAAACAGAAAAACATAGTTGAATGATATTAGTTTTGATGGGTACGTAAATTTTATCAAAAAATAATGTTTCTAGTCGACAATCAGATTGAAATAGACTTGAACATGGTTCGCTTGATAGTTTTATTAATTTGTTCTATACCAAAATAAATTTTTAAATTAAGTAATTGTTTAAATAATTTTAAATATGATAAATATTTACCATCGTTTTCAACTTTCGTTATAAACACTGATTCAAGATTATATATATATGTTGCGTATAAATATTTCACTAAAACAGAATCTGAGACTTGGCTTTCTTAGTGATGTCTCGGAGACCTAGCCTAAACAAAATTTTAATGAAATATTTATAAGCATCATATAAGATTGGAAACTCTTTCTGTTATTCATATCTTTCTAGGATCAGATCAGGTCATCTAGACTTGAGGAATGTCTTATTTTGTACAGAGGGATTTATTCTCTGTTTGCATGAAACGTCAAAATTAAAGGATGAAACTTTCAAGTGGATTACTGAAGATGCAGAATAGTTATATAACCAGTGACTATCTATCGTGTAGGTCTATGGCATTTCATAATGCTCATCTTTTGTTACAATTTCCTTTATTTCAACAAATATATAAACGTTTTTCTACAAACTGCGCCGTTCCACAGGTATCGGTGATTCTAAATAATAACTATGCTAGACCAGACACCTTGATTAATCGATTTAAATCTCTGAGAACATGCACTGAAACAGTCAGAGATAATAAAATAATTAAGACTATTAAATATTGCGGGAATGCTTTCCGAATTACGAAACCATGATCGATACTCTACTTTACAGACATCCGTCTAGTTTCCGATTTATTACCTCACAATAATCAACTGCTTTTGAGAAGTTATGAACGTCTCATCAGTTTCTGACTCATGTCAGCTGCTGCTCTTTCACACACATTGATAGAAGGATGAGTAGCCGGGAGAGATTTCCGCATAACTCCGAGAGCCTTTTCATAATAACGCAAGGCCTTTGAGTAGTCACACATGTCACTGTAAACCATTCCAAGACTGCCGTACGTCGTAGCCACAGATGGATGGTTCGGTCCCAGTGTTTTCAACTCAAGTTCCAGTGTCTGTTCATAATAACTCAAGGCCTTTGAGTAGTCACCCATGCTTTTGTAAACCATTCCAAGATTGTTGTATGTCGTAGCCACAGATGGATGGTTCGGTCCCAGTGTTTTCAACTCAAGTTCCAGTGTCTGTTCATAATAACTCAAGGCCTTTGAGTAGTCACCCATGTCACTGTAAACCATTCCAAGATTGTTGAATGTGGTAGCCACAGATGGATGGTTCGGTCCCAGTGTTTTCAACTGAAGTTCCAGTGTCTTTTCATAATAACTCAAGGCCTTCGAGTAGTCACCCATGTCACTGTAAACATCTCCAAGATTGTTGAATGTAGTAGCCACAGATGGATGGTTCGGTCCCAGTGTTTTCAACTGAAGTTCCAGTGTCTTTTCATAATAACTCAAGGCCTTCGAGTAGTCACCCATGCTTTGTAAACACTTCCAAAATTGTTGTACGTCGTAGCCACAGATGGATGGTTCGGTCCCAGTGTTTTCAATTTCAGTTCCAGTGTCTTTTCATAATAACTCAAGGCCTTTGAGTAGTCACCCATGCTTTTGTAAACACTTCCAAAATTGTTGTACGTCGTAGCCACAGATGGATGGTTCGGTCCCAGTGTTTTCAACTTCAGTTCCAGTGTCTGTCCATAATAACTCAAGGCCTTCGAGTAGTCGTCCATCTGATGTAAACACCTCCAAGATTGTTGTATGTCGTAGCCACAGATGGATGGTTCGATCCCAGTGTTTTCAACTGAAGTTCCAGTGTCTTTTCATAATAACTCAAGGCCTTTGAGTAGTCACCCATGTCACTGTAAACATCTCCAAGATTGTTGAATGTAGTAGCCACAGATGGATGGTTCGGTCCCAGTGTTTTCAACTCAAGTTCCAGTGTCTGTTCATAATAACTCAAGGCCTTTGAGTAGTCACCCATGCTTTTGTAAGCCAGTCCAAGATTGTTGTAAAATGTCGGAATGCTAGGATCGTTTGCAGAAGTCTCGTTCAGCAACATAATATAGTACTGCTCTGCTTTTCTGTATTCACCCATCTTTTGTAACAGTAGACCTAGACTGTTCAACTTGCTGTCGTCTGTGATCTCGTTCCTTAACTGTTCAGTGAGTTTCTTCAACTCTTCATCTTCTTCTCCAGTCATGATCAGTTTCACGTTCCAGATGTTTCTATCATCATCTCGTTCCACTGATTCGATTCGAAACACGGTTCCCATCGAGAAAAGGATTTCATTCTCAGTTTTGATATAGCTGAGGTGTGCAATGTTTGAGAATGGTTTGATGCATTTCAAAACGTGAATATCCATTTCAAATAGAACGGATACGACACCGTCACGATTTAAGCATTGTTCAGCAAACGTAAGACTTACAGCTCTGCTTGTGCTTGTTGACAAGAAACTATTCATTGATAAAAACCCGCCGATATTGGCTTTCATCTGCAGAAATTCTTCACGTACCATGCCTTGTCCACGATAAACAGTGAGTGTTAATGTTCCATCATTGGACTCTGAGTGCAGTGTGATAAGTTGATCGTGGAGATCTTTGACGAAGAAGCGAAACTTGAAGAGAATGTCAGTGTCTTGTACGCGCAGTGCTTTATTCAACATTCGGTACAAAAAGCACTCGCGCGTATACCACCAAATAGCCTGATGCTTTTGATAGTTCTTGTCGAACTCAGCAATAATTGTCAGTTCTTTTTCATTATCTTCATACTGTCGTCGGCATTCATCGATCATCTCTTGTTTAGATGTAGGAGTGTTTTCCAGTTCAAACAGAATCTCGATGAGGAGCTGAGAGTACATGAATGATGCTTCTTGTCTGTTGTTGTTTGTGTTCGAGGGTGATGACGGCATAACATTCATCGGTATCATCATGTCCTTCGAACAATTACGAACGTCTTTGCTCACCGCTTCGCAGACATGTTGAATGTCCGTGTTAACACCATGAACCTTGGGAAAGTGGCTGGCCCATTTGGCGTGCCGCTGTTTGTTGGAACAGAATATGTAGATGCATTCGATTTGTTTCATATCGTGAATGAGTGGGACTACTGTTTGTCCACATGAACCAGACACGATTAAAAAGATGTTTTCTGTTTGTACGGTAGATATGTAATCAATACATTCATCATCATGGTCAAATACTCTGAGATAATTGATTGTGCGACGCAGTTGAGCTTTTGATCGAGCATCTTCGGAAGCGTTGGCGCTCTCATCCAGCCAGATGATAGTATTGCTTTCGAAGTTTCGTCGTTGATCAGTGTCGGTCATAAGAGTTGTATTGGCACGAGCTTTATGCTGTGATATTGGCGTAGTTGGGTTCTTGGATACCTTGGATCCAGTTCTCAATGCACAGTTCTGATTGTTCTATGTCTAAATGAAGATATGAAAATATATGAACATTCATTAAAGAAAGAGAGATCTGTGTTTCTGATCAGACTGACGAGTGGGTAGTAGTGTATGTTGATGGACAATTTATTCGAGTGAGAAGTCAAGAAGGATCGATGGAATGCTTTTACTGTGAAGTCAGATGAAAATGAGTATTGAAATGAATGTCGTTGGTCTGCTTTCTTGTTTAAAATACCGCACGGTCTATCATAAAAAGCGAAATATCAAAGTATTGTTTGTTGTTTTGTTGATATGCCTGACTGTATTGATGCACTCAAAAAAATAAATATGTCTTAAAATAAGAGCCCAAAAGTCGTTTGACGATTCGACGTATATATAGATCTAAAAATAAGACGGATGACGATAAGAATGATCACCTATCTACGCGTGTAATCTTCAAGCGACTTATGGCGTCTTATTATAAGATCGATAAATGTATCTGTCTTATTTTATCTTCCGGTAGGCTCATGAGCCTATTGATCTTTAGCCAGAGGAACTGATGCAAGCCGATAGTTTGGCTTTGGACGGCATTCGACGGTAATAAAAAGACAAATTACAAAGCAAGCAATACTTATTAAATGAACTAACTGAGCACTGCTCTGAAATCGAACAGCGGCGAAGTAGATTATCAGAAAAGCACAATACATTTTTCTGCTCGTAATGTTTGTTACAAATGGGGCTTTTTACGAATAGCAAACTGGCATCGGTTCAAAGTCGAAAGAAATTAGCAGTCAGGCAACGTATCTCATAAAAACACTTTTTAAACGTAACCGGTTTGCTTTCGAATGTCATTATAATAAGACAATCCACTGAAAAATGTTTGAAAATTTGAATTCCCAATAATATAATATAATATTGAAATTCCAACAGAGATTACTTGTTTATGTGCAATATTTCTTTCTGCCTATAAATCAGTAAAGTTTGTTGCTTCAAATTATGTTTAGACACCAGTTATGTTGAAGCTGGTATGCGTAATACTGCACACACTCTTTAGACGACATTTTCGAAAAATACTTTGAATTGTGGCCTATCCACATGTATGTCTGCACATTACAGATTTCGAAATGGGTCTTTTGTGTGCTCGAGAAAATCTTGTACTCTTTACTACTCATGAGAAATTAGGATATCCAAAAGGTTGACATGAAAACATCGTCTGCACTGCGAAAAAGAAAGTGCCCTTTGGTGAGGTTTAGGGTACATGAAAGTGCGCTAATTTCGCCACAGTCACCGTGAAAACAACAAACAGGACACTTTCGTATGCCCTAAACCTCACCAAAGGGCACTTGATAATGTTACACTGATCTGATCTAATCTGATCTTATTACCTATCAGCTCTTTTATGCAGCTTTGATTATTGTGGCACACAACTCTTTTATTTCCCGACAGTTTTGTATGAATAACGCTTTCTCCTTCTCATGAATGTACCTCATCTAACGTGCTTTTAATTTCATGTTTTGTATAGCTTCTATGAAATGAGAAAAGAGAATGTGAAGAGCATGATTTTGAAAGATTCAAACGAAAAATGTTTAGCAGCAGGTCTCGTGAGCAACAAAACTTTTTCATTTCTTCACAAAAGCATATAAGTATTGATTATAAAAGTATCGAAACTTTGAGTGTCTATATTAACGTGGAAGTTATATGAACAATCGGTAGCATACCCAGAGACTGTCATCAAGTCTTATCAAGAAAATAACTTCAAGTCTTGTTTGTGAAACTAGACTAACCCGGTGTCAATTTTTTACGCAGCTCGACTCATCAAAACGTGAATTTTTATTTTTTATAAAAAAGAATGGTAATAAACGCAGTTTTGTGTTTGAGGGCGTTTTTTAAAAGAGAGGAATTTGTTACGAGACGTTTCATTACGTGTTTTCTTCAACCTCGCTCAAATGTATTTTTCCATTAAACGCATTTCATAGAAAAGTGCGCTTTTTGTCGTTTTGGAGAAAAACTGGTTTTAACGGATGTTTTCTATATCTCGTTCAAAAGACTAACTGGAGAAACTATTGTGCATCCCAACGTTGTAAATACGCTGTCGAACGGATGATTCGAGACACGAAGACATAATTTGTTGGAGTCTAGGCTTTAACACACCAGCTTTGAAGTGCAAGTTGAACAACGTAACTATCAAGCCATACTGTCTTGCGTATCACAAGATACTGTTGAATCTGAAAGACTAATTCCCTCGCAACTGTGACTGAATATCACTCTCCTTCAGCAGTTTGTATCTCTACAAACATTCCATCCGCATATCCTTTTTGTGCCCCTTCCTACGTGGTTTTAATAAACGATAATATGACTGTTTGCGCTGATAATTGGTCAACGTTGTCATGTTACTTTGCTAAGTGTCCTTGAATATCAAATGATTATTATCCATAAAAATTTTCAACGATCTAGCGTATTGTCAATTCTTTAATTCTGTTGTTATCGTTTTCCATATACTTATTTGTTCTAACGCCTGAGAATTATTGTTTTTATATCACAAAATACAGAATTTCAAGCTCTACAAAATGCACGTCTTTCTATGGGTTACATCGTTTTGGTAAGGGATGATAGAGTTGAGATATCTTCCTTTGGAGGGAATGGTGCCAAACACAAATAATGACCCAAGCTCTCACTGGATGTAGATCACTCAGCAAGTTTAAGCCTCTTGAACTGGATGGCTTGTCAGATAGAAGGATTTAATTTTTCGGCAAGATAATACTATGTACGTATTCGAGAGGAATGAAATTGTGGTTTTAGCAAAATGTAGCCTTCTCGAGCTACGGTAAGAGTTTAGAATTTTAGTTCCTAAAGCGGTAATCCTGTATACATATGGACACAAGTTTAATAATTTAAAGTTTTTAATTGATTTCTAGGTACTGTATCTATTGATATTGAACAACCAGACTGTAATTTATGAAATTTTTGTTAGATACTGATTTGAACTTTAGAAATATTATCTTGATTGGAAGATTAAATCAAACAAAAATCATGACCAGATTATATACAAGAAAATGATGATACGTTCATTGTTTTCAAAAAATCTATCATTTTTTTAATA